AGTAAGTAAGTAAGTAAGTAAGTAAGTAAGTAAGTAAGTAAGTAAGTAACTAACTAACTAACTAACTAACTAACTACTGACTGGCACTTTAGTACATATGCACATCCGATTTTAGCAAAGGAAACTCTGGAGATCAAATTGCAAAAATGAGTCAGATGATTGGAGAATTCTAGAAGTTGAAGTCCTAAAGTTGAAGTCTTAAAGTTGTCAAAGTAGAGAAACCCCTTGGAGTGGTCTACCCTGTGAAGCCATACCATAAAGAAATAAACAAACCAAGGTTTGACTTTCCACTATTGACCTCACCCCTTTCCTAAGAGGTCTGTAGGGGGCGTGCATAAGCGCACCAACGTGCCTACCGCCCCTGTCCTACTGTTTCTTTTATTTTTCTTATATGTATCCATGTATTCATAACTATGTTTTTATTTATACCTATTATCTTGTAAGCAATTGACAAACCAAATAAAATAAATAAATAAATAAAACAAACCAAGGTTAATATTTGGGCTGCACTGCAAATGCATCTTTGTATCTTAAAATCAGGGTTTCATCTCTGGCCTGAAAGATGTCCTTTTATACCACTAGGTGACAGCAAAATGTTATAGTTTTCTGTGCCTCTGCAACCATCTGTTGCTGCAGCCCAAATAGGTAGCTTCAATTTACCTTGAGCAAAGCAGAAAATATTGCTTTTCTTTAACAATGTCTAGACAGAAGGACAAGATTGCAGGATGAACCCCAGAAGATGGAAAATAACTTTTTAAATACATTTATTGCTTTCACCCCGTTGATCTGATCATTCCAACCACTGAAAACTACTTCGATGGATCTCTCCAGCTTTGCTCTGCTGGTAGAAATGGTAGCTGGGAAAGTGATCCCATGCGTTTATTTGAGTCATGCTACTATTGACTCTTAAATGTGAATCCACTGAGACCATAGGATGGATTCACACATCCCATTGTTTCAGCTGTGACATTCTTTCCTTGGTCTGTAGCCTAGTGCTGTAGCCTAGGTCTCTAAACCAGGCAACTTTAAGACTTGTGGACTTCGACTCCCAGAATCCCTCAGCCAACCCTGCTGAATACCTCATGCTGGTTGAGGAATTCTGAGAGTTGAAGTCACAATTCTTTAAAGTTGTCAAGTTTGGAGATCCCTGTCCTAGTGCCAAGAATGAACCCACCTGTGACAGTTTGCAAACTATGATTTATGGCTTAGCATTGTATTTGAACCAGCCCTCTTAATTTTTCAGGTCATCTGCCACAGATCATGGTTTCCACAAGCAATGCTACCATGTGAACACAGGCAAATGAAGTTCAGGAGGAAGGAGGAGAAGGAATGACAGAGGAGGGAACAGAATGAACAGAATGCTTCCACAAATGGGAGATTAAACCCACCTCCCCACACCCTTTCCATTACTTCTTCAAACTTTCCAAGGAGCTGCTGATAAGTTCTACAGAGGAATTATTGAATCTGTCATCTGCACCTCTATAACTGTCTGATTTGGTTCTGCAGCCCAACAGGACAGACACAGACTCCAGAGAGTAATTAGAACTGCAGAAAAAAACAATTGCTACCAACCTGCCTTCCATCGAGGACCTGTATCCTGCATGAGTCAAAAAGAGGGCTGTGAAAATATTTACAGACTCCTCACATCCCGGACATAAACTGTTTCAAAACGACACTATAGACTAGAGCACTGCACACCAGAACAGCTAGACACAAGGACAGTTTTTCCCTGAATGCCATCACTCTGCTAAACAAATAATTCCCTCAACACTGTCCAACTATTTACAAAGTCTGCACTACTATTACTATTAATCTTCACATCACTCCTTATCACCCATCCCCTCCCACTTGTGACTGCTGTAACTTTGTTGTTTGTATCCTTACGATTTATATGGACTGTTTCCTAGTATGATTTGATTGCTTATTGTACCCTATGACTATTATTAAGTGTTGCACCTGATGCTTCTTGACTCTTGATGAATGTATTTTTTCTTTTATGTACACTGAGAGCATATGCACCAAGACAAATTCCTTGTATGTTCAATCACACTTGGCCAATCAAGAACTATTCTATTCTATTCTGTTCTGTTTTATTCTATACTTTTACACCCATCAAATGCAATCCTTTGACCATGCACCAAGATTTCCCTGACCGTCTATACCTGCACAGCATACAAATCATGATTGAGATGATCTTATCCCTGTATTTTTGAGACAGATAAATGGATTCCTGTTGAATTAAGACTTTGTTTTCTGTGACCCATAGCTCATCTGTGATCAGAGCTCATAACCAGTTCATTTTGCCATAAAGGGAGAAATTAGAAAACCACTTGAGATTTTACAGCATCACTCACTCACTCACTCGTACCTCGATAAAATAGGACAAGGTTCAGGGAGGTTAGTAAAAAGGAAGTCATCCCTTGAATTTTGGAGAAATATCTGTATGCTGTAGCTGCTCTCCCCTTTGACCATCTTCTTATTGCAGAATTATTTCCAGAGATCTACCAGAATAAGAAATTGGAAAAGGTTGTTGAGTATTGTTGTGGCAACCATCAAAAGTCCTATTCAAATAATCTATTTTTAAAAAAACAAACTGCAAAACCCTCCATATCCTCATTCAACTCATCTAGTAAGGTAATCTAGTCCCAAAGGTGCTTTTTTTTTTTAAAGAGGCAGTTGGATTTTCTGGTTTTTCTTTGAAGACTTCTTATCCACTTCTTATCCAAGAAGCTTCTTCAACTCTGACTGGATGGTGGGGAATGGAAGGATTTATACTTCTTGCAGACAGCTGGTCATTTGCTTCCTTTTAGCAAGTCTTTAAGGCCACCTGGAGGTTTATCTGTGTCCTCATGGTCACCTGAGAGGTGCAAATGGGTGTGGAGCCTTCTTGGAACTGTTGAAAGGACTGTGTTGTAGATTGGAGATAGATGATAGATACCCCTTCCTCTCTGTTGAGAGAGGGCTGTTCAATTTTGACAGACATGCCCCTTTGACCCCTCTTTCAAAGCAGCTGTCTGCCAGGAGTATAAATCCTTCCATTCCCCACCATCCAGTCAGAGCTGAAGAAGCTTCTTGGATGAAAAGTCTTCAAAGAAAAACCAGAAAGTCCAGTTGCCTCTTGAAAAAAGCACCTTTGGGATAACCATGACCTAAGAATATCCATAAAGGTAATCTAGCATTTTCCTGGGCAATTGGAGCAAATCACCTTTGCATAGCCTATACAACTACTAAAATTATCATTATGTTTATCTTTTTATATCCTAAAGTTAACCCAAATGGTACTTTCTACTGCAACCATTTTTGCATCAAGGGGTCCTGACAGATGGATTGGGCTGGGAGAGTGACTGGCTCTAAGTCATCCAGCCTGTTCTTCATGCTTAAAGAAGGACTAGAACTCACCATCTACTGAATCCGACCTGGTGTCTTTACCATCAAACTGGCTCTCTAAATACTCTAAATAATTCCATTTTTCTCAGCTAGAATAATTACTGGTCAAGATATCCATCAAATCCTATTTGACTACGATTCCCCAGCAGCCCAACAGATGCTGTTGAACTACAACTCCCAGCAACTTCCAACCACAGAGATTTTCTTCACTCACCTCATGTCCCAACCTGTTTTTTAAGTTCTAACTGTCTCGGAATTTTCTTTTTCATTAAAAAGAAGAAAAAAAACAGCCATTTCACCAGCATTAAGAGCTGAGGCATCTGTTTGCAACATGGAATTTCCTTGTTCTTCTTCCATCTCTCTGTTTAGAAAAGTCTACTTTATCTTCCTTTTTGGGTGCCTACATGATGCCTACTGTCCCACCTGAGTACATTTTTTCATAATTTCATTAATACTTTAAAAAAAGACTGGCACAAGATAAGGAGGAAAATAAAACAAAGAGAAACAAAGAGAAAGATAAGAATGCAAGAAAGTAAAAGAAATTAGATCTCAGTGATCTGAAGAGCTGGGCCAGCTGATTTTGCGACGTATGTTTTCCTCTTTTGTCTTCTCCCTCCCTGTTTAGAAAGGCCACTTGATTAGTTTTATTCCTTATAGAGGAATTGAAGCAAATAAAGATCAGCCTAGTCACTGAACAGCGGGGACAGAAAATTAATGGATTCAGAACATTTCTGTCCCCAGCAACCTAAAACTAATAAGGATACCAGTGCATGCAAACTAGATGTTTGTGCAGGTAAGATTATCAACCTTGATGCCAACCAAAACCAAGCATTTAATAGTGAGTGCCATACCATGTGCACTAATCAAACAGGTGGCAAGAAAGTAGGGGCAAGCAGCCACAACACAGGTTATGGAGACAGTAAACACAGTGTCAGGCATAAAGATCTCAAGTGCCTATGTACAAATGCACAAAGTCTGGGGAACAAATAGGATGAACTTGAACTACGAATACATGAAGGTAAATATGATATAGTTGGAATTACAGAAACTTGGTGGGATGAAACCCATGACTGGAACATACTGGTAGAAGGATACAAACTATTCAAAAAACAAACAAACCCAGACCCCATAAAAGGAGGTGGAGTTGCACTGTATGTAAAGGACCACTATATTGCTACAGAAATGCATGAAACCAAAGATGGAAACCTCCTGGAATGCATATGGGTCAATATAAAAGAAAAAAAGAATGACATGGCCATAGGTGTATATTATAGGCCACCCAATCAAGCAGAAAATATAGATCTCCTTTTTGCCAGTCAACTAACAAACATATGCAGGAAACACACAACAATAGTAATTATCCTGATATCAATTGGAAAACTAATTCTGCACCAAGTGAGAAATCAAATAAGTTCCTAACCAACCTAGCTGACAACTTTGTTGTCCAAAAGGTAGAGGGTGAAACTAGAGGGACTGCCATACTGTACTTAATTCTTACAAACAGAGAAGAAGTGATAGAGGGAGTTGAAACTGCAGGAATCTTGGGTGAGAGTGACCATGTTATACTAGAATTCAACATAACACAAACACAAGCAACATAACATAATGACACCAGAGTCTTGGATTTTAAAAGAGCTGATTTCAATAAACTCAGAGAGAACTTGGGAAAGATTCCATGGATGAAAATCCTAAAGAGGAAAACAACTCAAGAATCTTGGGAAACTCTAAAAAGTATGATCATAGAAGCCCAGACCAGCACAATACCACTGAGAAAGAAAAACAAGAAATCCAAGAAGAAACCAGCATGGCTGCACAAAGATCTCTCTGGCAAATTGAAAGAAAAAAAGGACAAGTACAAAAAAATGGAAAGAAAGACATATAACTAAGGCAGAATATCAGCAGATAGCCAGAATCTGCAAAGACAAAGTCAGGATAGCAAAGGCTCATAATGAACAAAGACTTGCAACAAAAATCAAAGATAATAAAAAAAGTTTCTTCCAACATATAAATAACAAGAAAAAAATCAAGGAAACAGTTGGTCCACTAAAGAGAGAAGATGGCAAGGAAGTAACAGGCAACAGAGAGAATGTAGAACTGCTTAACTCATTCTTTGCATCCGTCTTCACGCAAAAAGAAACTATAGCTCAACCCCCCAAAAACATAACTGTAAAAGACAGACCAGAAATAAAAGTTAAAATAAGCAAAAAAAACAGTAAGAGAACACCTGTTTGATCTTGATGAAAACAAATCACCGGGGCCTGATGAATTACATCCCAGAGTTTTAAAGGAGCTGGCAGAGGTCATCACAAAACCACTGCACCATATCTTTCAAAAATCCTGGAGCACTGGGAAAACTACCAGAGGACTGGAAAAGAGCTGATGTGGTTCCCATCTTCAAAAAAGGAAAAAAAACAGACCCAGGAAACTATAGACCAATCAGCCTAACATTAATACCTGGGAAGATACTGGAAAAGATAATAAAAAAAACAGATCTGCCAACATCTAGAAACAAGTAAAGTAATAACTAGCAGTCAGCACGGCTTTGTTAAAAACAGATCATGCCAAACCAATCTTATTTCATTCTTCAACACAGTTACTAAATTAGTAGACCAGCAAAATACTGTGGACATAATATATTTAGATTTCACCAAGGCATTCGACAAAGTAGACCACAACCTACTTCTTAGTAAGCTAGAAAAAAGTGGAATAGATAGCACCACCACCAGATGGACTTGCAACTGGCTGGCAAACCATACTCAACGAGTAGTCCTTAATGGGTCTAAGTCTACATGGAGGGAAGTAAGCAGTGGGGTGCCACAAGGTTCTGTCTTAGGCCCAGTACTCTTCAATATCTTCATTAACGACTTAGATGAGGGAATAGAAGGGGAAGTTACCAAATTTGTAGATGATACTAAGCCGGCAGGAATAGCTAACCCCCAAGAAGATAGGCTCAAGATCCAGATGGATCTTGATAGATTAGAACACTGGGCCATATCTAACAAAATGAAATTCAATGTAGAGAAAAGTAAAGTCCTACACTTAGGCAAGAAAAACCAAAAGTACACATATAGACTGTGTGAAACCAGGCTCAATAGCAGTAACTGTGAGAGGGATCTTGGAGTCCTAGTGAACAACCAGCTAAATATGAGCCAGCAGTGTGCAGCAGCCGCCAAAAAAGCTAATGCACTCCTAAGTTGCATTAACAGAGGGATACAGTCAAGATCAAGGGAAGTACTAATACCACTCTATAAAGCCTTATAAGACCACACCTAGAGTCCTGCATCCAGTTTTGGTCACCACCCTATAAAAAGGTGTTGAGACTCTAGAAAAAGTACAGAGAAGAGCAACCAGGATGATTAGGGGACTGGAGGCTAAAACATACAACGAACGGTTGCAGGAACTGGGCCTGGCTAGTCTAGGGAAGAGAAGGACCAGGGGAGACATGATAGCGGTCTTCCAATATTTGAGGGGCTGCCACAGGAAGGAAGGGGTCAAGCTATTCTCTAAAGCACCTGTAGGCCAGACAAGGAATAATGGATGGAAACTGAACAAGGAGAGATTTAACCTGGAAATAGGAGAAACTTTCTGACAGTGAGAACAATCAACCAATGGAACAGCTTGCCCTCGGAAATTGTGGGAGCGCCATCACTTGAGACTTTCAAGAAGAGATTGGACTGCCATTTGTCAGAAATAGTATAGGATCTCCCGCCTGGGTGGGGGGTTGGACTAGATGACCTACAAGGTCCCTTCCAACTCTGATTATCTGTTAAATCTGTTAAACCCAATCACCAGAATCCTGTTAAAAGAGTTTCTCAAATTTGACTCATTTAAGTTAGATGGACTTCAACTCCCAGAATTTCCCAGCCAGCATGGGGAAAAGGAAAAAGAGAGAAATATATATATTAAAAAACACTGCCCATGTTCTTTCCAACAATGCCATGGGGTTAACTTTTGGCTTCCTTCCCTCTGCAAAATAGGTTGAAAAAGGATCTTCTACCCCCAAGAGTATCTTTTTAGAGATACGACTGGACAGGCATGCATCCCTGCGAATCACATTAGGACCGTTTCTTTAGTATGTTGAAAAAAAGCCTCTAAGCCAGAGGTGGGCAAACTTTTTGGCTCGGGGGCCTCATTGACTTTTAAAATTTGACAGACGGGCCGGGTCAGCACAAGATATGATACATATAAAAAACTGCAAAATCTCCACAAAATCAAGTCACTGCGCCTAATGCACCACCTGGTGTCGAAATGCCTGTCATTACAAGTCAAAATCAAATGAATGCAATCATTCAATCATTCACATCAAACCTTAATTCTGTACCAATCTTCGGCGGGCCAGATTAAAAAGCCCAACGGGCCGGATGTGGCCCGCGGGCCGTAGTTTGCCCACCCCTGCTCTAAGCTGAAGCAGTGTTTCCCAACCTTGGCGGCTTGAAGATGTGTGGACTTCAACTCCCAGAATTCCCCAGCCAGCAAAGCAAAAGGTGGCTGGGGAATTCTGGGAGTTGAAGTCCATGCATCTTCAAGCGGACAAGGTTGAGAAACATTGCTCTAAGGGAAAGGAAGGAAAGAAGTGGTGCCAAGGCTAATTGTGAGTTGATCCTTCAAAAATAAAAATAAAAAAATTGAACAGGTTTTCTCCCGCTTGGATAATTATTCTACCTGCCAGTAAAGTGATTTTTTAGAGGGGAATTTTTAGATTTTAAGGGAGTCCCCTATGCATGTGTGGATGGGTGTAAAAATTACGAAGGTGGCCACAAGTGTTTGAACACAGTCACAGTTGAAGTTTTTTTTCCTTTTTAAAAATCTGTGTTGAAACCTTGCTTGGTTGTGGCTACTATTTATAGTAGTATTAACCTGCTTCCCTCCCCACAGATTCTTGTGAAATTCTACTACAGCCTCCTCATACCTATTTTCTATTGCTCTATTCTCAAGAAAGAAAAAGGGAAGGAAAGAAGGAAGGAAGAAGGGAGGGAAGGAATCCCTTCTTCCTTGAACCTTCTGGATCCAAAAAGAAATCCTCAATCCAGCTTTTTACTGAATTGATTGATTTACACGACCCGCTTAACGAAGCCCATTAAAAGATGAGTAGTTTGTTTCATTTATTCCTGCACTGGTTGATGTGCCACAAATCCACACAAACAGCTCTCTCAATCATCGATTTCACCTGGTTTCCTTAGAGGAGAACAATGTTATTTATTTATTTTTATCTCACCTTT